TCCTTCCTTCCTTCCTTCCTTCCTTCCTTCCTTCCTTCCTTCCTTCCCTTACAAAGTTCAGTGATCAGAAATACGTTTTGTGACCCAGATCCTCATCCAGATTAGACAGAGGACAAGTGGATCGGGCTGGAGAAATTAGCTTTATTTTGTCTTTTTTTTAAATTTTGAAAGAAATCTCTGCCATATTTTATACGGCATTTTATATAGATTGATTTGTGATTCTTCAGATCCTTACTTCTACATTCTTTAACTAGTTAAGAATGGCTCTTACCTTCTGTCTTGCTAGTTCAACATGAAGACATGATGGGTTAAGTGTTACATAAAAATAAAACTTTTGAGAAAAGTGAGTTTTTAATACTTATTTTTCAGTATTTGTCTCCTACTGTTCCAAGAAAATTAGATCTGATTCTATCAGCACTGTCTAATTAAGACAGTTTATGCTGAGTAATAGTAACTAACTCATATATTAGATTCATACACTATTGTAAACTTTAAATCTAGAAAGTGAAACTGCTTTCTTCATATAACTTAGGCAGAGCTGCTACCTTTTCTCTGATTTTTGTGTGGAAAGGTTTCCAAGACCAGAGAATTTTAGGCTGTTTAGTGTGAGATGCAATCCATTCTATTTTTACACGCTTCCTGTTTGGTATAGCTACCTATATAACAAACTTGACCAAGCATCTAGTCAAGAAATATAAAAAGATAATAAAATCAGTGCAGTAAAATAAATGAATTGTCCTTGATAGCAGGGCAATTATTGCCTGGGTTTATCTAGCAGGTGAGAATGAGTAAGAAGTAACTTTCTTATCAGAAAACTTTGCCTACAGCCCAAGAGGACCTTGGCTGATACACGGCCAGAGGACCTTGGCTGATACACGGGTACATATGACATACTCTCTTTCCCTTAACACTTAAGATAGGCAGTGTATAAATAAATTCATGTGAATTCTGTATTATTTCAACTTAACAGGAAATAGCAGAATTCCTAGTTCCTTATTGGGAAACAATAGAGAAAACATACATCAACAACATCAAAGCAACCCTTAGATGCCTCAGAGATGAGCAACATGTTATCATTTATTACCTGTCAGACATAAGGTGAGTGTTGGGACTGTTGGACTCAACTTCCTCATGTCCCTTTTTCTACTGTCTTCCAACCCCCTGGATGGTCTTTCATTTCCCTGTTCACAGAAACCATTTCAAGGACTATTTGAAGCGTCCAGACCACAAGCAGGAATTTGTGACTCAGTGGCAAGTCGATTATAATTCAGTGACTGATGACTTATGGGACGATGATGAAACAAAAGAAGAACTCCATCAAAGAGTTACTGTAAGAATTAACTAAAAGTAGAGGATGGTTTACTAATTTGTAGCAAGTTGGTTTTGTTTCTTATTAAGTTGAATGGGGCATTGTAGGAAAATACACCTCGAGACTTCATTTCTAAACAGCTTCCACTGAAATAAACTAGTGCCAGCAAATATTTTGCATTATTTTTACCAATTCTCATTCCATGAAAGACAATTAGTTTATTCTTTTTTTTTAAAGACATTCTTGCAAAAGCAAAAAACTTTGGGGAACAGTTTGGAAGTAGAATATGGAGCTTCCTTAAATTATAAAGTTGTGTAGGAGTGGATGTGAACATACAGGTAGTCCTTGATTTAAGACTACCATTGAGCCAACAATTCTTTGTGCTAAGTGAGACGTTTGCTAAGTGACTTTTGCCCCATTTTATGACCTTTCTTGCCGCAGTTGTTAAGTGAACCACTGCAGTTGTTAGCAACACAGTTGTTAAGGGAATCTGGTTTCCTCATTGACTTTGCTTGTCAAAAAGTGACAAAGGATGATCCTGGAACACTGCAACTGTCATTAATTTGAGTCAGTTGCCAAGCGCCTGAATTTTGATCACATGACTCTGGAGATGCTGCAAAGGTCATAAGTGTGAAAAACAGTCACAAGTCACTTTTTTCAATGCTGTAACTTCAAACCGTCACTAAATGAACTGTTGTAAATTAAGGACTACCTGTACTGTACTGTCTTTCACTGCCAGCCGATATCAAGGGTTAAGCATTATGTTTTAAAACACAGCTTTCCAACTTTACCTAGTGACTGTCCCCCAAATGAGACTTTATGTTCCACAGAATAAATATATTTTTGGTGATGAGATTAGTTAACCGATCAATGAATTCTGTGGTTCATTGAATATAGGATTATTTGTTTGTCACCAACGTACTCTTAAATGTGCCAGTGAGCTTGGTTTCCTCCATGTAACACAGAAAGCTCTACCAGGTTCTCAGCTCATGGTATCTAGCAAGACTCTAAAGATGAAAGGACTAAAAACTGGCTTATCTCTAAAAACACACACGGTAAATGTGGCCACTGACCACAACACCTGCTTAGGTTACTAGGAATGACAAGTTTATGGTCTCACCTTTCCAAGCAGCTTGTCAAGTCAGATAAAAGAGGGAAAGGAACAGCAAGTTTGTCTTAAAGAAAGCAGTGCTTAAAGCCTCATTGGGTTGAAGGCAATAATTTTCCACACTGCGGTGGAAAGTGGCTTTTAAAAAACAGACTCTTTTTCAATCCATCATAAACTAATGAGATGAAAGCAGTGAAGTCATATCCTTTCCTATTTAATTGAAAAAAACTAAACAGTAAAAACATGCACTCTAACGCTGCATGCCAACGTGTAAATGGACTAGCAATATAATAGTTTCAGTCTACCCTGAAAGTATTTCTTTTGCAAGTATGTTATCATATAATAGAATAAATTAACATAATGTCAGTTTATGGAAATGTTTGCTTTAGTGTTATCTTTATTTTTTCATGATTTCAATATTAAATTGTACTAAATATAACTCATGAAAGAAAAGCTATTCAAGCGTTTTTCTAGATCAGAAAACACCTATAGCTTTAGTTCTGGGACAGGATTGTTCTTGTTGTTTTGGCTAATAACTAGAATTGTTGTTGCATACTAATCAGAGCATGATTCCTTCCAATTTGATCTATTTTACTTCTTTAAAAAGAGATTTTTTTAAAATTGAAGCAGCACCTTACAATGAGAACTAAAAGCATTAGCCACCAGCAATATACATATCATATTGTACAGCCTTTTACTGTGTAAGTTAAGACTAGTAGTTTTTTCCAGATGTTTTGTATTTCCATTTCCACAATCCCTTACTATTGGCTCTGTTGACTGCTTGAAGATCTGTAAATCAAAATGTTTCTTCTTGCTATGTGATGTATGGCCCAGGGTCTTTGCCATAAAACTGGTTTAAGAAACCAATAACAACCGTATATAATCTGATTTCTGACCCATTAGAAATGCTTTTGATGATGAAAACGTCCCTAGAAAGAATCCAATTCACATTCACAATTCACCTTTGTATGGGCTGAATGTTCCATGCTTCTGTAGAGGATATCAGATCCACCTGATAATACTGGCAGCTTTATCTCTCACCAGCTTTCCCCCTGGCCAAAAAAGTCGTATCTAATCCTTTATTTTTTCAGACAGCAACAATTCTGGCAAGGAGAGACAGAAGATAGTTTAAATTCCATGAATAAAATGTTTTGAGATTTTTTTTAACAATAAGGTTTTGTATCAGTTGTATTGAAACCATGAAAATCTACTGGTTTCTATATGGTTTCGTACATATAAGGCAGGGATACACCACATTTTAGACTCTGAGAACCACATTTGATCACTGAGTTGAGTGACAAAAATATTTAATTTGATTAATTGATTTAATATGGTCTGTGTCCATTATCTACAAATTTGCACTCCCTAGGTCACCTTTAAATTGCATTTTGATTATAACTTTGATGTGATCCTTAATTCCAGTATGTATAAAAGTGGGCAGCTGGTATCTGCTGTAGAATTGCATTTAACTAGTTTATTGGGGTCGGGAGGGAGGATTGGGCTGAAACATTATTGATGTTTCAGAACATTATTTGTATTAAAAAAATATTTTTTAGGATTTAAGAGATCGCTTGTGGGATATCTGTGAGAACAGGAGAGATGAAGCTGAGCAAGAACGTTGTGATATCATGAACGATGGCTGGTTGCCGGACCGAATTGGGCTTCTGATGAACCACATTTTTTCTCTTATGCAGGTCTGAAATACAATAGAAGGAGCTTTGCATTTTCATGTGTTAATGAACTTTTGGCTCAAACTAGGAATAATTAGGTTATTAGAAAAATAGCTAATATAATCAATAATTTTCTACTATTCAAATGTATGGATTTCTACATTTTGTGCTATTTGTTGCTTGGCATGTTATTAAATAACAGTTCCATAATCCAGTTTCAGTGGAACCCTCTGGCTACAGAAATAGAAGGTGAATGTTCAAAACTGCATGGATATCACATTCACATTATTTAGCACAATCTGTTGAGTACCAATTCACATTTCTCACTGTAATCTTTATTCGGCCTTCGAAAAGCCACTTGAAGCACTGGCATTTGTAAACTTTTAGACTGTTGATACTTAGCTTTGTGTGATTGGGTAGCTTTGCCTGTCAAAAGAAGAATCCACAGTGCAAGTCTGGCCATAGGCAACAGCTCCAAATCAATAACCAGTTTGGTGGTGAACTATGATAAGACACCAACACCAACACGCACACACACACACACTCACACCACCATCACTATCACCACCACCACCAGTCTACTCTTAATCTCCTATCCAACTTTCAAAATGTGTGAGTCCTTAAAGGTGAATGACTTCTCTCTGGGCCACTGGGCAGATACAATGAAGTGGCAAAACATAACATCATAATTGTAAAGAGCCATATAGACTATTAAATTTAACCCGCTGCCTATACCCAACAAAATATCTATCCAGCTTTTGTTTGAAGTTATCCAAAGAAGATAAACCCAATACTCACTAAGTGCATCTTCAGAGAATCAGATTCAAGCACCCTGGTTCTTCATGGGCCTGTCCCAGAGGTGATATTCAGCAGGTTCTGACCAGTTCTGGAGAACTGCTAGCGGAAATTTTGAGTAATTCAGAGAACCAGCAAATTCCACCTCTGACTGGCCCGGCCCCCATCTATTCTCTGCCTCCCAAGTCCCAGCTGATTGGCTGGATCTCCTTTAGTTGCCCTGCACAGGAGAACTGAGCTGGAAAACAAGTTAGTGGGGTGGGGAAGGAATGGGATTTTGCAGTATCCTTTCCCGCCCCCCAGGCCCACCAAGCCACACCCATAAGCCATGCCCACAGAACCTGTAATAAAAAAATTTGAATCCCACCACTGGCCTGACCCATACAAACAGTAACAGGAATCCCTCTTTGAGACTGAGCTCTGGATTGGAATAATTATTTGTAGGCCCCTAATGGACTCTGAATGAGGCATATAGGAGGAATATTAGATAGAAATACAACAAATTACCAAAAAAGGTTACCATGGGTAGCATTAGGATAGATAACATCATGTGACTTTTATCTTTATTCTGTATCTTGTTCAATCCCAAGAGCCCTGGACTGGCAGAAGCTAGAGAAGATCTGGTACCGATTTAAGAATTTGAAGCTGAACCTTTGGACTGGATCACTGTCCTACTAAGCTGGATTGTTATATTATTGTGGTTTCTCTTTCTTTCTGTCTCTGTTTCCCCCTTTTGAGACTGTGGCTTTGTGAATTTTCCCATGAATACAGGGCACTGGTTTTACTTTTCAGTTATATATTTAGCGGCTTTTAGTCTAATAATAAATCAAAGGCATGACAGGTGCATAAAGTTTTGTCTCAGATGTACAGATTCTCTGAACCTGGCAAATTGTACTTGACATTATTTTTCTTGTTGGTTTTTAGCATAATTGTGGAATGAAAGAAAAGTGTTAATTGAAGAATTATTGAGTGAAATTTATCATTTAGGCCCAAATTAGATGGTTTTGGACAATTATTCATATTTTTATTCTGTTCTATAGAATCTATAGACAGACAAGACTATTATGACTTGTTCAACAAACCATGGTTTAGTGTTACATTCACTGTATTTTCAACAATGCTAATCTCAATTAATAATCATAGCTGCTATTTACAATATATATAGTACACATTTGTTAAATCATTTATTAAAACTTTCATGGTTAATGTTGGAGTAGAATCATATTTTAAGGAAAAAGGGAGAGAAATCACGCCAACAGATAATTAATGATGCACACAATCTTATGGCTAATCTCTTAATCGTGATTTTTAAAATATGTTCAGCTTGTGTCAGGCCTGTTGGCTTAGCTACAGTATCATAAAACTCCAACAGGAGTAATAGTATTATTTAGTAGATACTTAATTAACATATAGTTAAAACTCATAGTGCTTTAACATTATTAATACATAGCTCAAACATACAAAAAAATTGGGCACTAGCTCCTTTGTTCCAAAACATTGGTACCCAAATTGTAAAGATGAGAAGGGATTATTTTAAGAATAGTTTCTTTTTGTGGTAAAAGTTTTTTATCTTATAAAAAACTTGGGTACATGTTATCTTGGGTACGTTATCTTAGAAAATAATGATCAAAATATTTACAGCAGTAGTCATTACATTGATATTAATTCTATAATAATAATAACAATAATATTTGCTTATCCATTTTAACAAATCTCCCCTACAACATTAGTTCTTTTCATACATTTCCATGTTTCTAACCTCTGTTTTTATTAGCCAACCATTGATAAAACAGGTCCCATGTCAAAAACTATTCAGTTTCTTCCTTTTCTTTAATTGTCAATGTTAATCTATCCATCTCTGCACATTCTAATATTTTTTTTAATTACATTTTCATCTGTCAGGATTTTTTAACTTTTCCATTGTTGTATGAATACAATTCTAGCTGCTGTTAATGCATGTAAAATCAAATATATATTCCCTCTTATCATATTTTTCTGATATACAACAGTATAGACATGTAGATATTGTAAAATTGTCTTGCATTTTCAGAGGGATAAGAGGATTATTATTTTTTTTTGCTTTCTTTGGACATCATAAAGAATGAAATGGACCGTTTCCAAGATACCAAAAGAGTTCTGCATGATTATTATAGAGCAATGGAAGGCAAAATTCCAATAGACACCAGCTCCGACTTTACCAGAATACCCTTGATAGATCTAATGGAAAGAAGGCTATCTGCGGAAGAGTGCAAGATGAAAATGTATGATAAAAATGGTAGAACTGCAACAATTAGTAAATAGATATGTTTGTGTTGGAGTGCCTGTAAATAGGAGAAAGAATACTTCTCTAATTAGTAAACATATATCCCCTATAGCTGGGAATTTACCGTACCTGGCATTTGGGTGGAGGGGTGGCAGGGGAAGGGAGGGAAATACAAAATAAAAGCAATATACTTAAGTAGGTATTAAACTGTATTAAAACAGCAAAAACAGTATGAAAATGAGTTTTTGAGAATTCTTCACCAAGCAAGGTGATACAAGAAGGAAGAAAACCCCAAAATTAATTTATATGCTAAATATCCTATGCATGATTGGAGAATTTGCAATTTGTGTCTCACTCTTGGTCACCACTGCAAGTGTAGCCACTGTCAGCCATGCTTTTGAAGCTCGTGCTACATTTTCCATTAAATTCTGTAAAATCTTATATAAATATACTCAATATACAGTGTTAAAAATAGAGCATCTGAGGCTCAACCTATTACTTACCACTTTCTTTTCTTTCTCTAAGAATCCCTACGATTGCTCACATATCTCCTTCACCAGAAGTTAACAGAGAAAGGATCAAATTGATTCCGGTTAAGCTCAAGGATGATCTGTTTTCGGAAAGTGTAATATTTAATTTCAGCCCAGATGAGAAACTGCTCACAGAGACATGGCATCATCTTACAACAACTATATCATCCGTGGTAGGTAAAGCCTTTATTTAGAGAGATGAGTCATAGATGCCTGGGGATAGAAGAGAGAAACAAAATGTGTGCATGATGTTGGAACTCTGGAACCAGGTTCCCAGTGCTTTTCAGGGGGTCCCTCATAACTTCATATAGTCGCCATGTCAGGGTTCCGATAGAAGAACCCAACCAAGCAAGCACCATTAAGACGATCCAATCTCTTTTTGCAGAGCTTGCATTAGGATAAAGTTTGACTTTTTAAAAAAGTGGGGTTTTTTGTTTTTAAAAAGTTTAGTACTTTGAAGGACAAGGGGAAATAAATGGTTTCTCTCTCCCCCCCCTTTTATTTTTAGGCCAAAGAATTTGAAAGAATACAATAAATTTTGTAAATAAAAATGGTGACAGTTCATAAAGATTACTAGGTACAAATAGAAATACACATTATTTCCATAGCAAGGAAAATAAAGCAGGAATGATTAAATTGATTACTTTATTTAAAGAGCAAAATATGTTCTTATTTGGATATCACTCCTGGAATTTGTCTTTGTGAAGAAAAAATAAATAAACTTTGATTTTAGTTTTGTTGATTAGAAAGATTTGGTGTTATACGTAAAAATGGCTAGTTATATATTAATGTGTAAAAGCAAAAGGTTGAGGCAGGAGTTTGTTTATCTTGTACTGTGTTAGGAAGAGTTGGAAGTCAATGCCCCCTTTTCTTTCTCTTTCCCCATGTATCTTACACCCACCTTTCCCCATTCCCTTTTCCTCCCTTAATTTCCTATTTACTTTTCTTTTTTGTATTTTACAGTATATAATAAAAATTAAAAAAGTGGTTGTCTTTTTGCAAAGCTTTATTGAGTGCATCATTTTGGCACAGACTGAAAGCAAAACTAGCTCTACTTAATTCCCACAGTTTTCACATAGTTAAAGAATAGTTTCTTCCCTCCCCCAATTAGTGCAGGTCACGTTGTCCAAGTAGATGTTTAGGTCTTGTTATAGGAAACTGTCCAGGTTTTTGCTGACCATCTGGTTAGATGACCTTGGTTCCCAAGGGGCAATTTCTTGTTGTCGCCTGGAACTGGCATTCCAAACTTAGCCTTCCCTCCCCCCATGGCTCTGTGGCAAGCTGGGAAGTGAAAATGGCGGCAACAGCATAATCACGCTTCAAACTTGACACACTAAGTGAGTGGTCATTAAGCAAGAACTAATGATAGCTTTGCTCAGAAACCATCTTCACATTAATGCTCCTAACATTTCTATTAATAAATGTTGGTATATGAAATTTCAGGTGAGTTCTGAGATACAAACAAAAGAAGCGGAAGAGGAGAAAGAACGGCTTCAGGAGGAGATGAAGGAAAAAGAGCGCCTCAAATCTTCACAAGCAATTGCTGGCAAAGGTGGCAAGGAAGGGAAAGGGAAAGGAGGAAAAGGTGAAAAGGACGCAAAAGGTGGGAAAGAGGCCAAAGAAAAGGACAGCAAAGATGCTAAGAAAGGAAAAAAGAAAGGTAAACGAAGTTTAGTGACATACTGTGGTCCTATTCGGAGCAGGACCAGCAAAGAGATATTAGAAGAGTAAGAAACATATCTCGTCCACGCCATCCTAAAGTTTCTCCGCATCTTCTACATGTAATGGAAACAAAACTCATCATTCTGAGGTTGTACTTCCAGGGAATATTCCGAAGGGTCAGGTCTACTGTAGCTGAGGCAACACCAAAACATACTTTTATGGAACTTGGAAGAAAGTTTCCTCCTTTTTCCCCAAACTCAGAAAGAGTTGGGTGTAGGTTTTTGTTTTTTGTCCTGAAACTTGCTCGGACCCAGTAGAATATTTACTCTGGGGAGGAAGCACCACATAGACTAAAAACATCTGGTTGCAAATTGTATACGCCCAGAAACTTTTCAGGGAGGACGGTTGCTTCATTTGGGTTCATTGCTGCAGATCTAACTCATAGAACATAGAACAACAGAGTTGAAAGGAACCTTGGAGGTCTTCTACTCCAACCACCTGCTCAAGCAGGAGACCATTTCAAAAAAATGGCTGTCCAGTCTCTTCTTAAAATCCTCCAGTGATGGAGCTCACCTACAACTTTTGAAGGCAAACTGTTCCACTGGTTGATTGTTCTCACTGTCAGGAAATTTCTCCTGTGGCAACACCAGGCAAACAACTGTTAATAAATTAAAACAGTTTGTGCTTTATAAGTATTTGAATGAAACTCCTTTTTTTAGAACTGTCAGAAGTTCTCAAAGGGTGACAAGCAAATTTGAGAAGGGCTGCAGTCACTCCTGCTCTGCTCAGATGGGAAAGAGCTTCACAGAGCTGTTGATACTGGGTTTCAGAAGGTGGCCTGGCCTTTTGAAACTTGTGTACAATCTGGCTAAATGTTATCCGAGATGACCTAGCCAGGTTACAGATAACAGATAATCAGAGTTGGAAGGGACCTTATAGGTCATCTAGTCCAACCCCCCCCCCTGCACAAGCGGGAGACCCTACACCATTTCTGACAAATGGCAGTTCAATTGAAGGTCTCAAGTGATGACGTTCCCACAACTTCCGAAGGCAAGCTGTTTCATTGGTTGATTGTTCTCACTGTCAGAAAGTTTCAACATCTTTTTTATAATGTGGTGACCAAAACTGGATGCAGTACTCTAGGTGTGCCTTACTAAGCCTTTATAGAATGGTATTTAGTACCTCACTTGATCTTGATTGTATCCCTCTATTAATGCAGTTTCAGACCTCTCTTGCCTAATCTCGTTTCCCCTTTCCAGTCTTGAGGCACCATTCATTTGCAATCGTCCTAATTGTTTATCGTTGAGCACAAGTGCAATGCTTTATCTACCTAGAGATGGTCCATAGATGCAGTGCCAGGACCCAACATAAGTACCCCCAGGAAAATGCCAGAAAGATTTAAGTACACGAAACTGGATAATTACAGAGTGCTCTCATTCTGCCTTGACAATCTAGCACTATCTTATCCGTGCACTCTGTATATGGTCCAACCATATACAGGAAATCTTCGACTTACAACAGTTCATTTGGTAACCGTTTGAAGTTACAACAGTGCTGAAAAAAAGTGACTGACTGTTTTTCACACTTAACAATCATTGCATGTTCCCATGGTCATGTGATCAAAATTCGGATGTTTGGCACCTGACTCATATTTGTAATAGTTTTCAGTGTCCCAGGGTCATGTGTTCATCTTTTGTGACCTTCTGACAAGCACAGTCAATGGGGAAGCCAGATTCACTTCACAACCAGGTTGCTAACTTAACAACTGCAGTGATTCACTTAACAATTGTGGCAAGAAAGGTTGTAAAATGGGGCAAAATTCATTTAACAACTGTCTCGCTGAGCAACATAAATGTTGGGCTCAATTAAATGAATAAATAAAATGAATAAATAGAGTGAGGACTATCTACATGCATCACACAGTTTGAGAAATTCTAGATGATTTTATTAGCTGTCTGTTAATACAAAGATAATAGCTATTCAAACATTTTTATCTTCAGATTTTTTTTACAATATTACTTTTTCCTCCAGGTATACATAGTCCCTCTACAACTGAAGTGGTAGCTACTCCTTTATCCCCAGAAGAATTAAAGAAGCAAGAATTGAAACTTAAAATGAAACAGGAATATTTTGCTGCACTGGAGCATGAAGGTATAATTTCTGCAAACAAAAGACTTAAATATCTACCCATTTAGGCCTGAGAAAATTTTTAAATTTGTTTTGGATGTTGCAAAGGTGCTGTTCGAAGGGCAACTGGACTTTCTTGGTTTTTTTCCTTGAAAATGTTTAACTTCTCATCTAAGATGTTTCTTCAGTTCTTGGATGAGAAGCAAAATGTTTTCAAGGAAAAAACCCAGAAAGTCCAGTTGACTTTTGAAGAGCATTTTTGGAACAACCATAACCTGGATGATTGAGAATCTCCATAAACGTTTGTTTTGGATGTTAACTATGTTTGCTTGAGCTTCTTGTAGGTATTCTGCTTAACCTTTTTTTAGGTTCAAGTTTTGGTTAATGTGGTTTGGTTTATCCATAGTTTGTTCAATAAGCACAATTATTCATGTGTTAGGCTTACCAAATTTGTCAACTTCGCTATTGTTTATTACTTCAATTCTCTAAAAACAGAAACAAAATAAGACCAGCTTGTTCTTTGCTAGATTTAATCCTGCACCAAAACACAGAAGAGCATTACTTTGCACCCAAAAGACTGGTATAGCAGAGAAAATTCATCTCTGATATACTCATAAAGTATGATTAGATCAAACCAAGAAATTTACCTGTGATATACTCATAAACCATAATTAGCTCAAAATATAATTTCATACCATAAAACTTAATTTATTAACTTAATCCATTTACCAAGCAATGTTTTAAGTATACACATCATTACAAGAGCCTTTTTTTGCAGCAATCCAACTGTGCAGATGCATATAGTCCTCGACTTATGACCAAAATTTTGCCCAAAATTTCTGTTGCCAAGTGAGACATTTATTAAGTGAATTTTGCCCCCTTTTTAAACTTTCTTGCCATGGTTGCTAAGTGAATCACTTCAGTTTTTAAGTTAGTAACATAGTTGTGAAGTGAATCTGGCTTCACCATTGACTTTGCTTGTCAGAAAGTCACAAAGTGATCACATGACCTCAGGATGCTGCAGCCATCATAAATATGAAGCAATTGCCAATTATCTGAGTTTTGATCACATGAGCATGGGATGCTTCAACGGTTGTAATGGTCATAAGTCACTTTTTTCAGTGCTGTTGTAACTTCAAACAATCACGAAATGAATTATTGTAAGTCGAGGACTACCTGTATATAGCATTAATTGCTCTGTTTCCTACATAATACTTAATCTAATGAATGCTAGACCTGTGGGCCGGGAAACACTGGTGGTCCGCAAGAACATTTTGGTGGTCTGCAGAGAAATGTCACCCCCAAAGCAATTAATCCAGGCTGCACGGGAACACAAGGCTGCTCCGCCCACATGGCCCGAGGGAACACAAGGCTTGCATCGCTTGCATTGCGAACAACACGAAGTAGTGAGGGGAAGGGGGAAAGGGCCGAGGGGGAAACTTGCCCCACTCGCCCCACATGCCTCGCCATTGGACTGCTTCTTTCTGCTTGTTTCTTCTTCTGCTTTTGGCTGCACACAAACAAAGCAGCAAAAGTCTTTCTTTCTCTCCCCCAAATTCCATCAGAAATGAGTCTTTGGGACCCTGCAAGGCATCCTGCTCCAATAGGCTGTGCCAGCGCGACAAGTCTCACCAAGACTCATTTCTGGTGGAGTTTGGGGGAGGGAAAGAAAGGCTTCTGCTGCTTTCCTTGCATGAAGCCAAAAGTCTCTCTCTCTCTCTTTCTCTCTCTCCCTGAAAATGGAGTTGGAGATGGTATCCTGCGATCCCAAATAAAGAATGATCGATGGGTAGGAGAACAGGTGGGAAATTTTCCTCCAGACTTTTTTGGGGGATTTTCCCGGGGTTTCTGGTCCGCAGGGTTTAAAATTATGAGTTTGGTGGTCCCTCAGGTCTAAAAGGTTGGCGACCCCGTGTTAGACCTTCAAAAATGATGAGCGTGTATGAATTTATACTAACTACAAGCCATTTTTAAAATAGCGGAGGCTGCAAAATCTCGTCTTGAGCTGTTAAAAGTTAAAGGATTAGCTTTCCTGGAGGATCTACAATCAAAGGCAGAAGAAACATACAGAAATATGGAAAAATGGCTTGGAGAGCGATACCTGGCTGAAATGTCTAGGTAATAAATTGTTAATAAAGGAATAAAATTATGTTACAATAGAGGAAATGAGGTAAAAATCATTAAGCTTAAGAAAAATCCTGAATAAATAAGATGAAAAAATTCTGCATTATCTATAATGCAGACAAACTGCAGTTGTGTTTCTATAATTCTGGTAAGAGTAAATTGTGAGTAATAGTTTATGTCTTGGTGTGTATATATAGTTAAATACTGGTTGTATGAATTATAGTTTAAAAAGTAGCCGTCAAGGCTCCAACAAATCCACCCCCATTCAAATCAAAAGTCTCTAGCCGCATCTCAGAGAAAAGTAAGTTGATTTATTAGGAGTGGCGTAAACTGGATGCAGCTGATACTAAATTACCCCATACATTTCCCCCTTGACCCTGCTCTTCCCCCTCACCCCCTGGATGTGATTTCTCTAATGGGACACATCCATCTCCAAGAGTCATCCATCATGCTCTCCAATAACCTCCTTATGCTCCGACAACTTTGAGCTGCTGGGGTGATTATTTAGGCATTTCAGGAATGCCTTGTTTTCCCCCACTGCCTTTTTTTGGCAGCTAAAAAAGACCAAAGGAGTATTTATTGAGAGAAATGAAACATACACCTTTTTTTCCCCTTTCTGAACAGCTGTAAATAGTTTTTTGAATGAGCCATACAATTGTTTACCACTCTTACTTTGATTCATTAAACTTTCCATAAATGGCAGGAAATATCATTTTTATTCATTCTTTCTGTGTGAAACCCCAACAAAGCAAAATGTAGACAAGCTTTTGGTCTCTCTGCTTGTCTTATATTTTGTCATATCTGAAAAACTAGTTTTGTGTGGGCTAATCCATAGGCTGACATGCAATCTGGAGAGAATGATTAAAGTGGGCAATCCCAAACTTTTTCTATCCATAATGTACCTGGAAATGTGAAGATATCAGGACTTTGTGTCATTCTCATTGGATCTTTCTCAGTAAAATGAATACATCACTACAAAGATTTTTCAAACATAGTAAAAAATTCAGTCCAATGTCATAGGAAGTAAAAATTAGAATAGAATAGAATAGAATAGAATAGAATAGAATAGAATAGAATAGAATAGAATAGAATAGAATAGCAGAGTTGGAAGGGACCTTGCTTAAGCAGGAAATCAATACCATTTGAGACAAATGATTGTCCAATCTCTTTTTAAAAACTTCCAATGTTGGAGCATTCACAACTTCTGGAGGTAAGTTGTTCAAATGACATAGTGAACATTGGGAGATTCAGTTTAGCAAGAGAGTTTTTTTTTTCCAATACAGGCATTTCAATAGCTGTTGATTTCATATATTCTAGAGAGCATACAGTTAGAGATTTTAACAGCATGCCTGGAGCTGAAGAATCACACTGATTTTTCTAGGGACAAAGCCAGTAGAAAAATATTAATTGTCAATAAAACTATTAATGTTAGATTTTGCCATGTTTTTCATTTTTAAGCATATATATCGTTACAGTGTGGATAAATTGGTTGGGGTTGCCCGGAATCATATTGAAACTTCCTCCAGGATTCAGTTTGAATTAGCCCTGGAAGGAACAGATTTCTATGTTAATGGTGATATAAAAGTATTTGAAGATCCTACTCTTCCACCTCGTCCCCCATCTGTGGAGACTGCTACAAACAGTACACTCACTATTTCACAGCTAAGTACTCTTCATAAGCAGTTTCTACAGGTGGCACCTAAAGGTAAGAAAATACTTTTTTCATATATGTATCAAAGCATATTAATGACCATTCAAGATTTAAAGTGATTGAAATATTATATTTGTGTCCATAGTAGTAAGGGTGTTTCTACAAAGGTTAAGAACAGGACAAAATGATGATCAGTTGTTTAAAATAAAACATTTAGATTTTTTTAATACATTAACAGCGCAAACCTACTTTTCTTCAGTGCAGCTTCCTGATGTTATTCTTCAATACATTTTTAACATATTGGTCCCACAATAAAATGTTATTTTGACTGAGCCATCCTTTTCATAGTCAGATTTTAGATGCACATATCCTTTTTCATGTGCACCCAAATGGTGTGTCTTTGTATTTTTTTTAACTAAAAATATGTAGACACTAGTCAACTCTTTTCAATAACCTTTCGTGTCTCTGTTTAGACCATAGATGTCACTGGATTTATTCAAGGGCCAGATCAGCATTGTAGTTCTCCTTCATGGGCCGGCTGGGGGTGGAGTGGGGGGTGGAAACGGGATGGATGCCTCCTGCAGCACCCTACCAGTCAAAATGGGGTGTAGAGTGCTGTAGGAGGCCATTCAGACTGAAAAGGGGCATGGGGAGACTGCACACCGTGCCCTGTGTTGGCTGATAGAGTGCTGCAGGAGGCCACTTAGGCCAAAAATGGGGCCTGGGGGTGGGACTGCTGCCAGAGGCACCATGGGCTGGTTCTTTGTTATTTCCAGGCCGGCCCCATGGGCCAGATTTAAGCAGCCTGCAGGCCAGATCTGACCTGCAGGCCTTAAGTTTGACACCCCTGGTTTAGATTCTTCAAATGTACTGTGTTCTGATCTCTTAATCTTTCAACTGTCTTAACATTTAACCATATTGTATCATGCAATATCATTTCGCTCTGGCAACCCATACATTTTCTTCATAATAAAGGACCTGTTTAATTCAACACTCTAAAAATATTTCAAAGAATTGCTTATAAAAGTTATAATCAATTATTGTGAATAGCAGGCATTTTTCTAAAAAAAAATACAAATGCACAAATGTATACTAAATAATAAAAAAGGAAAGATTTTCATGAAGTCCAGACGACCATTGTTAATTTCTAATATCCATTCATACAATAGGTGAAAACTTGTATAGGCTATCCTTGCTTATTGACTATCTCATTTAGCATCCATTCGATATTACAATAGTGTTAAGAAAAATAGTTTTGTGGCCAACCCTCATATTTATGATCGTTGCCCTCCCATTTATGACCATATCCCATGGTCATGTAATTGCTATTCTGGCACATTGCAACAAAGTACATTTATAGCTATCACAGCAGGGGTGGAATTCTACCAGTTCACACCTATTCGCTAGAACCGGTTGTTAACATTCTAAGCAGTTCGGAGAACTGGTTGTTAGAAGAAATGACTGGCCTAATCCTGTAAGGAAGGCAGGAAGGAAACATTCTGGTGTTGCTTACAGAAACTGCCTCTCCATTAACCCTTATTACATTCTTGGCAGGACTAGACTTCCTGTCTCAGGAATGTCTCTGGAGTTTTTTTCCCCTCCTTTGCTGGTACTTTGCTTGTGTGGGGTGACCATTCAAAGTTACAATGGCACTGAAAAAAGTGACTTATGACCATTTTTCACTCTTACGACTATTGCAGCATCCCCACAGTCTTGAGAGGCCACGCGAGGAGATACGTGCCTCAATGTGAGTGATATTGAATTGGTTACACCCAGCCAATAACATGACCACCAAGCCACACCCACCCAGTCACATGACCACCAAGCCACGCCCCCAACTAAGCCACACCTACAGAACCGGTTGTTAAAAAATTTGAATCCCACCCCTGTATCACAGCCTCCTGCAATCACCTGATCACCACTTGCATGCTTCTCAGTTGTCTTGTGGCAAGCAGAGTTAATGGAGAACATAGCAATAAAATAGTAAGTTGTCATATGATGTTTTGCTTAACAATCACAGTGATTTGCATAACAACCGAATGGAAGTTATGTCATAAGCCCAAAACAAGGATGTGATTTTTCCATTTATGACCATGACACTTTGAGACAGAGTTGCCAGTCCCAATTGTTGGTAAGCAAGGACTACCGCTAAACCTGATTGTCCCTCCTTATAAAAGTATTCTTTCCAGGAATGGAGATAAAATTTATTGGTATGGTGTTTTTTAATGTTGTTATTTTAGATAAACATAGCTGGTTGAAATTCCTAAACAGATACTTGAACAGTAATACAATTTTCTGAACTTTTCCGAATAGTATGAAATAGGTTACAATGCCTGCCCTGCAAATGAATACAAAAATGTATAATTAGGAAACAGAACATAGAAAATGGGTGCATTTTCATGTGGACTTTCAAAGAATCAATATGAAAATAAGAAAGGACAAAATTAAGGTTACAAAAATAACCTAGAGAGTTAAATCAAACTTAACACATTCATTTCTTATGATGAAAAGTATTATATGTTGCTAGATATTGTTTGGATAACAGTATCCAGGGAGGGATAACAGAATGATAAAAGCAGCTTTCTACATCATGATAGAATCCCCAACCTGTTTTTACATGCTTGCATTTCAATGGCACAATGCTACTTTTTTCATTTGGATGAAAGGAGGACATTTCTGCAGGTAACCTGTGCTTAAATTCAACTGGCAGTATGTCATTTTCTTCTGTGATAGCTTCATCAGAAACAGGTTGTTCCCCTATAATATCTGATTTAAAAACAATGTTTCTATTAAAATTTCTTACTTGAAGTATTCTATATATTTTCTGGCCATGTGTTTCAGGAATATATAGGTTTTTGCTGTATATATTTCTTCCCTGTTATTAGAAACGTAATAGGCTGCTCATATAACTGTTATGAACCTTGTAACATTATACCTTATTCACTATACTGTATTTAAAAATCCTGGCATAGTATGTGTGGGTTCAGCTAAGTATATTACGAGTTGATTCCTAACTGTAGGAAATAAAAAATAAAATTAAATAAATAAATAAATAAAAAACATTCATAAGATTTAATGGAAGCTACAGACAACGCAGTGTGGTATGTTGGTTTGGATTTGTCCCCAACAGCCTCTTCTTAAACTACCAGAAAGTAATTTTGAGCTCTTATCATTGTAAATAATAAAACATGTCAGTCAAAGCTGCTGAAATCTGAACAGTCAGCAATGCTGCTGAATATAGTTTCAGATTATATTAATTTCTAAAAAACTTAAAGATAAACATTTCATATTTTGCATAATTTTGCGGGAAGACAAGATTTCAGCTTCACATACATAATCTAGTTAATACAGAATTCAGCATATAATTTTTCACTACATTTGAGTTATGGAGGAAAAAAATGCAATTTTCAGATGCCTCACATTTATTGTTTTGTAACAAATACAGTAACTGAACTTTTATAATTTGGAATAATTAATAATTGTAGCTCAAACTAATAGTTATATTGAAATTGTGTTAAAACACTATAATGTTGTTATCATAAACATTATGAAATATTTATAGCCATAGCAGCACTGAAGCAACTTAAAAGCAAGAAAGTAACTCCAGGCAAACAAAGCTATTCAGAGAAGAGTCACCAGTTTCCAAACATCTGGATGTTGAAGTACACATGGTTAAAATATGACAGTGACAAAGGCATTATGTACTGTGCTCTGTGTCGGAAACATAATGTAGACTTAGGGGAGAAGACACACAATTTTTGCTCTGGGACTGATGATTTTATTCTTGAATTAGTTGATGAACACAATAATAGTGAAGCTCATGCATGGGCTTCCTGTATGGAAACAGCTAGTAGCTCTACCCCAGACTCAGGTACCACTCAGCAGATGTTAAAGAACATGAGTAAAACAACCTTGAAAAAAATCGAAAACCTCTTTAGAACCTGCCATGCCATTGCCAAAACTGGGCGCCCCTTCACAGACCTGGACTGGATAAGTAAACTGGATGATATGAAAGGGGTGGACATTGGTTCCATTTTCAGAAATGACAAAGCAGCAAGAATCTTTATTCATTTTATTGCTGAAGTGGAAAGAAGAGCCTTGAAAGAGAAATTAGAAAAATGCAAGTTCTTCTCTCTCATTAGCGATGGCATTACGGACAGTGGAACAACAGAAGCAGCCCTTGTATATATACAGTTTGCACATCAAGGGAAAACCCACTGCCAGATTGTTGGGATTCAGTCCATAGACATGTATGATGCTTTGACAGTGAAAAATGCTATTTTAAAAACCTTACAAACCAATCTGAAGGTCAATTTGCCAACCCATGACTGGGCAAAAAAACTGGTTGGCTTTGGCAGTGATGGTAGAGATGTTATGATAGGAGAAGATGGAGTAGCTAAACTATTGAAGGACATCCAGCCATGTATTCAGAGCATTCATTGTCTTGTTCACCGTCTTGAAATGGCCTACAAGATGGCACTGAAGAACACTCCACTATTCAATATACTTACAGACCTATTAAAAAACTTGTACTATTTTTATCATGACTCTCCAATGAATAAGAAGAACCTTAAGCTAATTTGTGAAGCCCATAAAATGACACCAGTGGTTCCTTCTCGAATTGGTGGCTCTCAATGGTTTCTTCGTTTACAGACGGCTCTTCAGATCCTTTTGAAAGGTTACCCAGCAATTGCCCTACACCTGAGTAAGGTAAACGCTTTTTGAAACTATAGAATTTGAGTAACAACTGAAAAAACTAGAAATTTTCTGTCAGTGTTTTAACACATTGTTTTTCGTGTTGAGTTCCAGACAGGAGAAGAATCAGATTCCTCAAATCAACAGAAAGCCAAAGATCTCTTGAAGTTTCTTCTAAAAACAGATATGGTTAAATTTTCTCACTTTTTATTAGATGTCATTAATGTCCTCAACATTCTGTCTCGTGTTGCCCACAATCCAAACACTTCCATTGCAGACGTATTTGCTACAATTCAGTCAACACTGGAGATACTCCAAATGTATCAAAAAAGGTTGGATATTAACAATTACTGCATATA